ACGACACTGACCGACGGTACTGACGTCCTACAAACTAACTGGCTAACAGCTCTAACACATCCTACGTATTCAACCTGGTATGGATCACCCCGGAGCGGAAAGTGGGCCGAACAGGTACTTGTTCGTAGAGTCACCTTAGCACTCACAATCTATCACAATGTGTCAAAGTCAAGAACTGTTTGACCAGGCGAATCAGAACATGGCATTTTCTTTGACCCTGCCCTGATGATCGTTCTTGGTCTATGGAATTTCTTGTATTTCCCTGTTCCTGGTGCTTGCAGACGTAACCTGCTCACCCCCACCTGCTGCAGTCTATCCAGCTAATAATTCCTCCTCCTCCACCACCACCATCGTCATTTCAGTACCACCTTCTTTACCGGCCAGCCCGCTCTCAGTCTTCAACTACACTCACGTTCACACGTACAACTGTCGGCCGGGATTCCAGCGCGTAGGAGCGGCGACGACAACTTGTGATGCCCAGGGTCTCTGGAGCCAGCCACCACCTCTGTGTTATGGTAAGCTACAAATAATATTGAGTGATAAACCCTACACCGTACTGTTTGATGCGTATCTATATTCATTACGTCATAGTTGTACTGTTCACTGCGCCATGATACGTTACTATTTATTCGTGAAGACTTGGGAACGGAAACAAAACATGTCATGAGAAAGAACCACAGGAAAAAGAAGCACACTCAACTAATCCGTGTGTGTGCGTGCATGCAGTACAACTATGACGTAATGAATATAGATACACATCACGGTTAGTGTTAGTGTCTTTCAGTCCTTTTCGTCTTTTATTCAATGGAGATAATAGTAGAAAAGCTGACCTGGTCGCTTTTCTAAACTAAGAAAAATGCGCACATATCTCCAAAGCTGAAGGATGGCTTTGTTTGCCATAGCAATCAAACAAGGGCCCTTGTGCAGACTATGACATCCATCTGGGGGTTTAGCTCAGTGGTAGAGCGCTCGCTTTGCATGCGAGAGGCCATGGGTTCGAACCCCATATCCTCCATAATTTCTTTTTTTTTTCTTCACAACGGCATATGCAGATATGCATCTCAAGTTCTGCGTTGGAATTTCGAACTTTTTTCATTTCGCGAACTCAAAGCTGACCGGTTTTGTTCGGAAAACAAAACAAAATGGAACACGAACATGTGGATTGTGTCGGGACAGTGATAAGAAGTCGACAAAATTGTCTCTATATTAAACCCGAAGACCTCGATCTGTCCATGTCATACTCTACAAGCTTGACTTCTCATTGTCGATCATCTCAAAATCCGAATCTTGTTACATAATCTGATTTTCGTCAGTGAAATGTTTTACGGAAAAGATCCAGCATTCTTAGCTTCGAGAATTTCTGCAGGGAATCATCTTTCACCTTCAGGGGAAAGTTACGATCATGTCGTTGATGACTTTGATCTTCAATCTTTCATTCTATTTCCCATGCAGTTGCTACCTGCAAAACATCTGCCTTATCGGGTGCCATCAGCAATGGACTAGTGACAGGCAGCAGTCCCAGCGAGGTTGCCATCAACGCCACGGTAACCTGGTCTTGTGAGCTTGGCTATGAACTGGTCGGTCAGGCCATGTGCTCGTGTCAACAGCAACTCGCTAACATGTCCGGCAAGTGGTGCAGCAGCTTACCATCTTGCAGACGTAAGATTATTTCTTTCGATGCCGTTTGCAATGCGTCTGAAAAAGTCTGCGGTGGCTATGTCTCCTTATAAGGATGATACTGTATTTCTATGTACATGCCATATATGCAGAAGTCTGAGAGTGAACTATGCAAAGCACTGTGTTATGGAAGTAGTTTCAACGATTAATTTTCTAATTTTTTCATTAGTTGAGGGAAAGGAAAAAAGGAAAGATTAGTTTTCCCTTTCGTGTTGTTGTACCGACATGCAGGAGTTCAATGCCAGCAGTATCCAGCAGTTGCCAAGGCGTTCATCGTACCCAACGCACCGGCACCGCACTACAACGAAACGGAGCACATCCACTGTCCGCCCGGCCACACGCTGGAGCCGGGCGGAGGGCGCACGGCCAGCGCCCAGTGTCGCGCCGACCGCACCTGGTCCTACGTCGCCACTGCTTGCCTGCCGTCGCAATGCGCCGCTCCCCCGACCGTGCCCAATGCACACTACACTGGCAACACGTGGGTGTATTCTAGTGCAGTCACATACACCTGTGACCATGGATATGTGTTGACGGCAGGCTCTCAGGTCTTGCTTTGCTCGACGAATAGCACCTGGAAGGGAGAGCTACCTAATTGTACAGGTCAGTGGGCGCTTAGAGTTGCTAGTCTTGTACCATCTTGTATCGCTGACTCAACAACTGGGCGTGTTCTCTCTCTCTCTCTCTCTCTCTCTCTCTCTCTCTCTCCCCCCCCCCACGCTTTGCATTTGTGATGAATTCCTAAACCACTCTGTCTGTTTGCGTACTTGATTTCCTCCTGTGATGTCTGGCCTTTATAAGATGGCAACGAAACGTTGATGAACACCTAACCCTAGCCAATGTTGTGTGTTTGTGTGCTCAATACGAAACTCGCTTTAATACCTGAATTTATCTTTGTCACTGTTATTGTTGTGTATGCTGTGTGTGTGTGTGTGTGTGTGCGTGTGCGTGTGCGTGTGCGTGTGCGTGCGTGTGTGTGTGTGTGTGTGTGTGTGTGTGTGTGCGTGCGTGTGCGTGTGCGTGTGTGTGTGTGTGTGTGTGTGTGTGTGTGTGTGCGTGCGTGTGTGTGTGTGCGTACGTGCGTGTGCGTGTGCGTGTGTGTGCGTGTGTGTGTGTGTGTGCGTGCGTGCGTGCGTGCGTGCGTGTGTGTGTGTGTGTGTGTGTGTGTGTGTGTGTGTACATATGCTGCGTGTGTGCGTGCGCGCACAGTTGTAACATGTCAGATCAGTAATGTCTCAAGTTCCTACCCCGGACAGCACAACACTACCGGAGTCAGCCGGGTGCGGTTTGGCACCGTGATTCGCTGGTCATGCCAAGTGGGCTATCGACTGCTGGGCTCTCGAGACCAGCACTGCACGGCGACTGGACGCTTGCACGTTGGACCACCATCCTGCCAAAGTAAGTAGTCAGTGTGTGGCTGCTGACATCACGGGATATTGTACATGACATCACTACTATGATAACCCGTGCTATACCACAGTTCTCCCCGGAGAAATCCGACGGCGTGAATATAATAGCGCCGAGAGCGACGCCAACCTACCACCACACACACACACACACACACCACTCTGCACACTTGAGCGCGGCACTACTTTTTTTCCAAGCGGTTGGATTGCTCTGGCCAGAACTGTACTAGTTTACAGGACATGTATTTGAATGATGACTACCGTCACTGAGTGGAGAACGCAATTTGTATAATTCAAAGGATGCAGTTTGTGCGCACCGGTCGGACTGCATTTTAAAACATGTTTTGTTCTTGAACAGAATGCTCCCTTCATCACAGTGCTCTCCTTGACAGGTTTTTACTGTTCTGTCCTCAGTATGTGTATTCTGGAGCAGATTGTCTTGCCTTTGTTCGAGCCAGCACCGTAGAGTCGTGTATAAAAGCCGTGGCTTATAATGACGATTGTCTTGCTTTTGTTTGGGCCAGCACCTTAGAGTCGTGTATAAAAGCCGTGGCTTGTATGACTTTCGTGGGGAAAAGTTGCAGGCATCTATGAGATAGGCTTCTATATAAGACAGCTAATTTTCTCTATTATTATGTCAACACTAAAACCAGGCTTATGTGCCGGCAGTGCATCTTGAAAATCAGGCTTCTATTCAAAACAGGTTTCTATTACGAGAGAGTATGAGAGAGGCTTTAATACGAGACACTACGGTACATGTGTTCTGTACCTGTACCTTTCTTTCATCAGTTGTAACATGTCCAGGCCTGGCACCCAGCGCTCACTCCCAGCTCACGGCCATCTCGCCGAGCAATGCTGTCAACGCAGACGGCTGCCTCGACTACCGGACCCTCATCACCTTCCAGTGCCTGTCTGGGTTCGAGAGCAGCGACAACACCAGTGTGCGGTGTCTAGGCACGGGTGCCTGGAGCAACCCAGCGCCCATTTGTAGACGTGAGTGTGCGGTGAACCCACCCTCTGCATGTTGTCTTCGATTCTTTTCTCTTTTAAATAAGCCAAATTGCGCATTGCCAAATATGGAAGGTATGAGTAATGCATGTGAGTACACTGGGATCAGGAACGCACTGTTCAACACCCCAGACGACCATGCCCAGGTGGCTGTGTGGGGTGTTATGTGAGTACACTGGGATCAGCAATGCACTGTTCAACACACCAGACGACCATGCCCAGGTGGCTGTGTGGGGTGTTTATGGTACATTATGGTCATGGATGCAGGGAATGGGATTTGTCTGTCTTTGATCACTTTGTGGCGGGTGTGATCTACTCGCCTCCCACCGCTTTTAAAAGAGCTGCAGCTGCGCATTGATTCTTGAGGGTGGCGGCGTTCCTGCGGATGTGGAAAACTCAGGCTAACTGAGGGTGCGTCTGGTTGGTGCGACCTAGAACAGGATTCACCAGAACAGCGCGTTAGGTTGGGACTGCACCTGTTCTGGGTCGGCCAGAACATGTTCTGCTTGCTCCGACCTCGAGGCTGGAGCAGCCAGAGGAGTTTTACTTTTTCAAAGTGAAACCTGGAGGGCACATCGATGTTGGCCCGAAGCGATCACGTGCGTACGCTTTCCGGCGCTTTCAGGTTGCCCTTGCCATTCACTCGTTGTGCCTTACAACGTGACCATGATGACATGTACACATGTTGACGAATGTTTGGATGTTTGTTGTTCCTGCTCGGTGTGTTCATGTAGGCATTTCATGCGGCCAGTATCCCCCGGTAACCAACGGTTACGTGCGCTATCCATCGCAGCACTACTACCGAGATCTGGCCACCGTGCAGTGTAACCAAGGTTACATCATGCCGGGCCAGGCGGAGGCGGTGCAGTTTGAATGCTGGGCCAATCGCACGTGGAGCGGCCTGGTACGGCA